GGAATCAAAGGTTTTCCAAAACCTTTTAAAGAACCCCGGTGTTGTCCTCCTCAATGTTTGCCAGCAGCATATATGCTGTTTTTACTGAGTATCTACTACTAGCTGAAGTAGCAGAAGAGATAAAAGCAAAACAACCAAAAACATAGCAGAACAGAGGAAGAAGAAGACACTTCTATTGCTGGAAATAGATAAAGATGATTACACCTTAAACTAAATAACAACTGCCTATTTATAATAGGCTAATAAAGCATAAACTCCTATTTTCTAGCCACTACAAACTGAAACTTAAAGATAAGGAAACGTGGTTATCAGCAACCACAATAGTAGGATACATAAACTCCACTAACTAGGACTCATTCAAAAACAATTAGCTTGAAAATCGGGATTAACTCCAACATCCCCACCTTAATCTTGATTCGGTAGAGCAGATATTCCCATCATACTCTTCAACTTGACAAAAGCTTCATACTTCAAAGGTTTAGTGAGGATATCAGCAACTTGATTTTCGGACTTGCAGTACTTTAACTCAATCACCCTTTTGTCAATCAAGTCTCGCAAATAATGAAATCTTATGTCGATATGCTTGCTCCTTCCGTGCTGGACTGGGTTCTTTGCCAAGTTAATAGCTGAAATATTATCAACAAAGATCTTCATAGGTTCTTCAATTTGGACACGAACTTGATTCTTCAAGCTTTGCAACCATATTGCTTGACATGCACTTGAGGCTACCGCCACATACTGTGCTTCACAGGTTGAAAGTGCAACAATCGACTGCTTTTTTGATGACCATGAACAAGCTGTACTGCCAAAATTAAAGCAATAACCAGTAGTGCTTTTACGATCATCTAAGTCTCCACCCCAATCACTGTCAGAATAACCTACAAGAGCACAATTGCTAGATGAAGAGTAAAATAGACCATGATCAAAAGTGCCCTTTAGGTACCTCATAATTCTCTTGGCAACTTGCAAATGAGATTGACGAGGGGACTCCATAAACTTGCTAATCAATCCAACACCATAGGAGATGTCAGGTCGTGTGCATGTGAGATACCTCAAACTCCCAACAAGTTGCTTGAAGAAAGTGGGATTAACACGTACGTCATCACCCTCCTTGAACAACTTAGTTCCAACCTCCACAAGAGTTCTTGCTGGATTGCAATTATGCATATGAAACCTCCTTAACAGTTCAGAAGCATACCTCTTTTGACAGATAAAGATCCCATCTTCTCTTTGCATCACTTCTATACCCAGAAAGTAAGACATTAAACCAAGATCCATCATCTCGAATTCGTGCATCATAGACCTCTTGAAGTCTTCAATCATTCTGGTACTGTTGCTTGTAAATATCAGATCATCAACATAAAGACAAAGTATCAAAATGTCACCAGATTCATTAAACTTCACATATAAAGCATGTTCAGAAGGACATTTCTTGAATCCAGCCTTGACAAAGAATGAATCAATGCGCTTGTTCCATGCTCGTGGTGCTTGCTTCAAACCGTAAAGTGCTTTCTTCAATCTGTACACTTTATCTTCACTTCCTTCTTTCACGAATCCTGGTGGTTGCCTGACAAAGACTTCTTCTTCAAGAGGACCATTTAAGAATGCTGACTTCACATCCATTTGATTAATCTTCCATTGATTTTGTGCAGCCCAAGCTATAATGAATCTAATGGTCTCCATTCGAGCTACTGGAGAGAACACCTCCTGATAATCATGGCCAGGACGCTGTTCAAATCCTCTTGCCACCAATCTTGCTTTATGTCTTTCAATCTCTCCATTGGACTTCATCTTTGTCTTGAAAACCCATTTGACATCAATTGCTTTTTGATCCTGTGGTAAGTCAGTAAGCTCCCATGTGTTGTTCTTCTCAATTGCCTTCATCTCCTCAAGCGTGGCATTCACCCATTTAGGATCTTGAATGGCTTCTTCAAAAAATACGGGTTCTAAATCTGCAAACATGGCAAAGTGCACTAGATTTCCATCATCATCACTAGCATCATCGGATGTTACCTCATAATCCTGTAAAGTAACTGGTGGTTGTCTTTGTCTCCTCGGTCTTCCAGCTTCAGGAAGAGTCTGTGTCATGGGATTTTCTGGTGTAGTATAACTTGGTGCAGCAGCTTCTTCATTAGTATTGGTTGCTGTAACTTGAGAATCTTCTTCAAGAATAGTGACAGATCGCCTTTGGGAGTCATTGTTTGTATCCAGATCCCACCTCCAAGCTTCATCTTCCGCGAAAGTCACATCCCTATTTACAATCACCTTATTAGTCACAGGATTGAACAGCTTGAATCCTCCACGAGTATAGCCAACAAAGATGGTCTTCTCTCCACGATCATCTAGCTTTGTCCTTGTTTGTGCCGGCACATGAGCAAATGCAATAGAGCCAAACACCTTAAGATGCTTCACACTTGGCTTGAAACCACTCCATGCTTCTACGAGAGTAACATTTTGAAGACTCCTTGTTGGAGACCTGTTTAACAAATAAACAGAATAGGAAACAGCTTCACCCCAAAAAGAATTTGGCAATCCCTTGGCCTTCAAGATGCTCCTCACCATGTCCATTACGGTTCTGTTCTTCCTCTCTGCAACTCCATTGTGCTGTGGAGTGTAGGGACATGTAACTTGATGTTGTATACCCTGTTCTCCACAATACTCACGAAATTCATTGGAGGTATATTCACCCCCACCATCAGTTCGTAAGATTTGGATACAATGATCACTTTGTCTTTCAACATGAGCCTTAAACTTCTTAAAACAACTCAATACTTCAGATTTATTTTGCAGAAGATAGACCCAAATTTTTCTAGTAAAATCATCAATGAAGGTAAGAAAATACCTATTGTTACCAATTGATGTAACACTCATTGGGCCACAAACATCAAAATGAACAAGTTCCAATGGCTTTCTTGCACGCCAATTCTTTCCAGCCACAAATGGTAACCTGCTATGTTTTCCAAGAGTACAAGCCTCACACAATTACTCTGGATGATTTATGCTAGGCAAGCCCTTCACCATATTTTCTTGAGCAAGCAACTTCAAACTACGAAAGTTTA